GCGAGGATGGCCCGGGCTGCGGTTGGGGCGCGCGCCCGACGGCCGGGGCTCCCCTCTGAGCGGCCGCGGCTCTTTCGCCTCCCCGGGGGGCTGCCTCGTTGGCACCGCGGAGGCCAAGGATAGACAGATAATCCGCCCTCCCCCGCTCCAACCGGGATCATGACGGTCCCCAAGGAGATGCCGGAGAAGTGGGCCCGGGCCGGGGCGCCCGTCTCCTGGAACAGAAAGAAGCCCGCTTGGGGGACAGGTAACGGGAGGCAGCGCCTGGCAGCTCTCCCACGCCCGTAACTCCCCCAGCCCCCGATTCGCTTCTCCTCTGCCTCCCCCATCCTTCCCTGATCCTCTCCTTTGCAGACCCAGAGATTCTGGATCCCAGCCTTCTTCCTTTGCATGGGTTTTGGTGACTGCGCAGGGGACTCAGGCCGAGGGGCCCCCTCTGGGGAAGTTTCTGGGAATGAAGTGGCCACTCCGGGCAGGGGTGCTCTTAGGAAGCAGAGATTTTTACTGCAGTGTGCTCTGCAGGGGTCTTAGGGGGACGGTGGGGGAAGGAGCCTGCAATGCCGCCTTTCGGCTCCAGGTTTTCCGTGTTGTTTACTGCCTGACCGAGATACCTCCCTTTCCTAGCTGGAGGTCATGGTGACCCCTGAAATGGGCTGGGGAACCCTTCAGAGGACAGCCCAGTGTTCTGGGACTTGGACTTGACGCCTGCATCCCAGGACCTGTGGAGGTTCGGGATAGGTAGAGCTGGGGACTCATTTGTCACTCAGTGACAAATGGGTTGTTTAGCTAAAAGGTGTCCAGATGGTGCAAGAAAGGTTACAGTTAGACAACAACTGTTTCCATGAGATCCCATTCCTTCCTCCTCCATCCCTGTCTCAGTCTGCATGACCCCTGTCCCTGACCCCCCTTCTCCTACTTGAAGATGAGCTTTGAAATAAGATGATGTCATTGTGGGCCAGTCAGGAACCGCTGCTGGTGACATGTGACAAGCAGAGGCTCCTATGGGGGGAGGTTGCACGTGGGGCTGGGATGCTGCCGCAGAGCAGCTCCAGGGCACGGTGACCCTCCTTGCCACCCTTGCCCCCAGGTTAGGGGGCGGACAGAACCATGGCTAGATGTTCAGTGGTCCCCAGTGGGGAAGGAAGCTTTGTGTCTTTAACCCCTACTCCTTGGATATGATGAAGATTGCATTAATAATAGCAGCAAAAAGGGCTGGGGATTCCCAAGGCTGTGGATGGCTAAGACTCCTCCAGAGGGCTGGGGGAGAGGAGTGAAATGCCCCCAGTGGAAGACCTTGACGCTTGGTGAGGAAAGGAGTGCACACTGTGTCCTGTGGATGTGATGCCCGCAGAGCCGTGTGGTCAGGGTGGCGGTGAAAGGTGCCCGAAAAAGAAGAATTTAGTGACAACCTCAGGTGTAGCGCGAACTGCTTACACCCGTATACTGTGGAAAGAACTGAGGGTTGTCCGTGGGCCCTCACCGAGTGGGGTGTGCCTGACAAGGTGTTGGTCCTGGCCTCAATTTGCCCCTCCTGACTGCAGTATCATTCTGTTGCAGAAGAAGAAAGGAGGGCGCGGGCCAATGACCGAGAATACAACGAGAAGTTCCAGTATGCGGTAAGTGACTCTGGACCATCTGTTCCCTCGCCCTGGGTCGGAGAGAGGAAGGTGCCGGAACATCCTAGCTTGGGACTGAGGGCTGACTGGGAGGGTGCTTGGGGGAGGGGAGGGAAACTCCTCAGCCGCTCTATCTGTTCCCGTGCTGCCTTTTTTTATGCCTTCATCTGTCAGTGAAGCAGGGTGCATTGACCCCCTGAGACTCCCCTCTCTCCTCCCCCCTTCCCCCATACACCTGTGGTTGCTGGCTTTGGGGGCAGACGTTTGGGGAAGTGTGAAGATGGAATAGACAGCCTCAGCCTGGTTCTGGGTTGAGGTTCGAGGTTGTGGTGTTATCTTCCCTCCCGCTGCGTAGAGTAACTGCATCAAGACCTCCAAGTACAATATTCTCACCTTCCTGCCTGTCAACCTCTTTGAGCAGTTCCAGGAAGTTGCCAATACCTACTTCCTGTTCCTTCTCATCCTGCAGGTAAGATTCCTCTAGTAGACCCTTTGCAACTCTCTAAGCTGAGTAAAGCCAAAGAAGAAGAAGGTCTAGGGGCAGAGGGGGCATAGAGTGGGGCGTCAGAGGCATGCCTTCTCTTTGCTGTTCTCAGTTGATCCCGCAGATCTCGTCCCTGTCCTGGTTCACCACCATTGTGCCTTTGGTTCTTGTCCTCACTATCACAGCTGTCAAGGATGCCACTGATGACTATGTGAGTCGTTCTCATTCCCCTACTCTCCCTTTATCTTCCCCCAGCTCACCACCCAGCACAATTCCTTGGTGCCCTGGACATCCTTCATGTGATCCAGCTAGATCCATGATATCTTGGCTAGGGGGACAGGGGTGGGTGGGTGGGTAGGTTAGAGAGAAAGTGTGTCTGTGAATGGATCTATACAAGACATCACTCAGAATGCTCTGGGTTCTACTGCTCATCTGACTCCCCTGGAGTGCAAAGGTGTCTTTCTTCTTTTCAGTTCCGCCATAAGAGTGATAACCAGGTGAATAACCGTCAGTCCCAGGTCCTGATCGATGGAATGTGAGTGCCTAGTGGAGACTGAGGGCTCTGGGAGGGATGGGCTTCCCCTGGGAACCAGTCCAGCCACTGACAGCCTCTTCTCTGGCTTCTCATTGCTCCAGTCTCCAGCAAGAGCAGTGGATGAATGTCTGTGTTGGTGATATTATCAAGCTAGAAAATAACCAGTTTGTGGCGGTAAGTGACAAGGTGGCTCCTCCAGGCCTCCAGGACTCTTCCGTCTCTTTGGTAGAAAGAGATGAGTCTTTCCTTGTTTACTGTTGGTTCTTAAACACTCATGGAAGGAACCTTTCTTGACTAGGGGGCTTCTGGGTCATGTGAATAGGCCTCCGTCTGCCTCTTTTCTGCCCATTCATGTGCTTGGTCGTAGAAAGAGGGGTCATCACAGAGTGCCCTGGGGTGGAGGGTTGGTATTTGGGCCTCTCATTGGGTTTTCTCTCTAGGCGGATCTCCTCCTCCTTTCCAGCAGTGAGCCGCATGGGCTGTGTTACATAGAGACAGCAGAACTCGATGGGTAAGTGACATGCTCGGCATCACTTCTCTCCCGCTTCCTTAGGGGTAAAAACATTGTTTTTGAAAGAGGTTCCCAGGTCTGGGCTCTGTGCCTTTTGGAAAATTTAGGAGTAAGAAGGGCTTTGGGTGTGTCGAAGTGTTATCCACTCGGTGTCTACTGGTGCTAAGCAGCGGTAGCCAGCGGGTAGATGCCCTAGGCAGCATTAGAGGAAGGGAAGGGAGCCAGGAATCAGAGACCCTGTCTTTCCAGAGAGACCAACATGAAAGTACGTCAGGCGATTCCAGTCACCTCGGAGTTGGGGGACATCAGTAAGCTCGCCAAGTTTGATGGTGAGTAGTCCTTGGAGAAGCAGCCTTCAGGTAGAGGGTAGACGAGGTGGGTTGGGTTTTGGGGTTTCAACTGAACCTTTTCCTTTTGGCTTCTCGTTGCTGTGATTGTTCAGCTTCCTGGATTATTTGTGGGGAGATGTTGGGGGAATACCAGGCGGTTACTACTTGCTTTTGAGTTGATGGTCATTGCAAGGGGGCTTCATGTCTGACAGCTCCCCACTTGCTGAGTGCGTCGGAAGAAATTCAGCTTGTTCTTTTTGTTTAGGAACTCAGGATAATAATGTTATTCTCTTTATAAGACAAAATATAAATGCATAAATGTAAAAATAAATGTATAGCTTTGGTGGTGCCGTGGTTAAGAGCTTGGCTGCTAACCAAAAGGTCAGCGGTTCAAATCCACCACCCGCTCCTTGGAAACCCTATGGGGCAGTTCTGCTCTGTCCTATAGGGTCGCTATGAGTCGGAATCGACTTGGTGGTAACGAGCTGGGTTTTTGGTTTATAAATGTTTAAGAACATGTTAATAGCCCCTCCTGCCATTCAATTCTGTCTTCCCTTAAGTAACCACATTAACGGGCAGTTCAGTGCGTATTCATCCACACTTTTGTCTATGTTTATTCAGACATATGTAACCGTAAATAAATGGGGCCATACTGTAGCAAAAGTGCTGCCTTTTTTACCTGTCAGATACACCATAGGTATCTTATCACATCATTATATAAAGAAACTTAACTCATTCTTTTCAGTAGATGTATAATATTTGATAGAGTTGATGTACCATAATTTATTCAGTTATTCCTTAACGGTTCGGGTTGTTTCCAGTCTTCCTCTTCAAATAACACGTCAATAAACACGGTTGTGTATATGTTCTTACTGACCTATGCTATTATTTCTGTAGAAGGGCGCCCTCCAAAGCAGAGTTCCTAGGTCTGAGGGTGATGTACACTTTTAATAATAGTTCACGCTGCCGCATCCCTTTGCCAGAAAGTTGTAGCAGTTCGTGCTCCCAGCAGCAGTGTGTGGATGGGCTCACGTCCTCATACCCTCCCTCAGCTGCTTCTCTCTCTTTGTCGTTGTCTTGTGGTCAGGCTGTAAACTCGACGTTGAGTTGTTGTTGTTCGTTGCCATGGGGTCAGTTCCGACTCACGGCGACCCCACGTGTGCAGAGTAGAACTGCTCCATAGGGTTTTCAAGGCTGTGACCTTTTGGAAGCAGATGGCCACGCCTCTCTTCCGAGGTGCCTCTGAGTGAGTCTGAACCAGCAACCTTTTGGCTAGTGTTGAGTACTTAATTGTTTGTGCCACCCAAGGACTCCTAGACTTTGAGCGTCGGTGCTCTTGTGTCATTCAGGTGAAGTGATCTGTGAACCTCCCAACAACAAGCTGGACAAGTTCAGTGGAACCCTCTACTGGAAGGAGAACAAGTTCCCCCTGAGCAACCAGAACATGCTGCTTCGGGGCTGCGTGCTGCGGAACACCGAGTGGTGCTTCGGCCTGGTCATCTTTGCAGGTGAGCCTCCTAGGGGCCACAGAGAGAAGGGTAAGAGCTGCTGCCTCAGCCCTCCCTCAGGAGTGCGGGAGAAGGCTGGGTGGGCTGGTGCAGTATGGGAAGTAGACAAATTGCAGCTCTGAATACAAGCCTCTTGATGAGCCGGTGTCTCCACTCCACCCTGCTGGCCTGCTGTCTGGGAATCGGGGCCGAAGTCCAGAGGCAGATTGTAGATTCCATATTTGGCTTTCCCAGCCCTTCCTATTCTTGTCCAGGTCCTGACACTAAGCTGATGCAGAACAGTGGCAGGACGAAGTTCAAGAGAACAAGTATTGATCGCCTAATGAATACACTGGTGCTCTGGGTAAGGCTTTCCATACCTGGTTCCCTGTCCGCCCTCCTGGTTCTCCCGGGCGCTTCCCTTTGCGCCCATCTCCGTGGTCAACAGTCAGGCTTTAGGTTCTGGAATATGGCCACCGGCAGGTCAGCCACTCCGAGCTGGCGTTTATTTCAGGCTCCTTTTAGACTTGGAAGATGGTATTGAAAAAAACCCTAGGAACGTGCATGAATCAACAACTTAAAGCTAAAACAGATCTCGACTTCTCTGGATTCCGGTTATGACGATGACTTAGTGCAGTATGTGACTTTCTGTTTGCTTTTGCCAGGGACAAGGAGGCCTTCATGGAGACAGAGAGGGAATTAAAAGAAAAATTTCCATTTGGAAGGTGGATAACGGGGTCCTTTCCCCCGGCTTCGAAGAGTGAAGGATCCCAAAGGGAAAGTTTCTGATTTAGTTTTTGGCGATTCCTAAATCCTTCACTTGTTTGGCTAGAAATCCGAGCTCCTTGTCGGGCTCTGCTCCTTTTCTGGTGCCCCCACTGCCTGCCGCCTGCCGCCTGCCCCCTGCACGCTGGCAAGCACAGGCTGGGGCCAGCTTCTGTGGTGAGACCGTTTTCCCACCCTAGCTTTAAAGGGTTTGCAGAAACCCAGCCTACGGGAGAGTGATTGTCTTATCACGCAAAGGCTTGCCCTGCCCCCTGGTGGTCCTTGGGCACCAGGCTGCTTCCTGTCTTGTTTCAAAGCATCAACAGTGGAGGTGGCTTTGGAAATAGATGGCTAAAGTCAGACAGTGGTCCCAATTTTTTTCCTTTAACCACTGAAACTTATGCTCCTTCTTCATGGATTCCAAGCTGTACAAAGTTTTGACTATCAAGAAATCTTGATACAAAGATACACATTATTTCCCTGCTTTAAAAAAAAAAACACAAAAATTTGGCAGCCTGCATGAGATAGTGAATGTGACGGAAACTTAGCATTTTTGTTGACTTGGGGAGGCTTAGCGCAGGTACGTGGTGATTACAACAAACTTTTTTTGGCGTGTTGAAAGTAGAGCGCCCCTATTCCTGCCACCTCTGAGGACCCTGAACCAGTCCCAGGACAGCAGATTGGTAGCTACTGAGCTATTTCAGCTTCCGTGTCAGACAGATGAGAAAAAGGTGCAGAGAGAAGGCCACACGCCAGTCGGTAGCAGACTAGAGCCTGTCACCTGTTCTGGCTCCTTCCATGAGAACATGGCGCCTGTTTAAAGATGGCCAAGCTTTGGAGGGTTCAGGGTGGGAGAGGGGGCTACCTTCGAGAATGCACTTGGTTTGAGAGCTGCAGTGAGCAGCCTTCTGCTTCTCATTGCTCCCCAGATTTTTGGATTCCTGGTCTGCATGGGTGTGATCCTGGCCATTGGCAATGCCATCTGGGAACACGAGGTCGGGATGCGCTTCCAGGTCTACCTGCCCTGGGATGAGGCGGTGGACAATGCCTTCTTCTCTGGCTTCCTCTCCTTCTGGTCCTACATCATCATCCTCAACACCGTCGTGCCCATTTCGTTGTATGTCAGGTAGGCACTTTCTCTGCCTCACACGTCTCCAGAGAACTCAGGTGGTCCCTTGGCAAAGCTCTTTTTTTCCACAAAGATGAAGTCTTTGAGGAGGAACTTAGAATTTTCTTCTTCCTGTCCTGTGAACATGTGATGCTACCTGTTTACCTTTGTGTGCAGAGCAAACTTCACCACAGTTTCCTGGCACTTGGGGCTGGATTAGAGCAAAATGCGTATTGATTTGTTCAGCACACGTGTATTGCATGTATTGCATGGCGCGTACGACAGTGTATTAGGAATGGGCCTCCTTCCCTTTAGGGACTTCTGGTAGAGGAAGAAAAGTCTAAGCTCGTTATAAAACAAAATGTGAACCCATGCCTTAGAAGTGAGTCTGCACGGTCTTAAGCGTAAGCAGGGGGACACAGAGAGTGTAACATGGCCTTTGCCTTCAAAAGCAGCAGGCTGGAAGGGGAAGGGGGACACGGATGTGTCAGAGAGAATGGGAGATACCAGGTGGGGGGCACGGAGTGCTGAGAGAGTTAGAGGAGCGTTGCTGCCCCAGCGGTTAATCAGGAAGGACATCTCTGAGGAGGTGGCCCTTGAACTGAGCTTTGCGTGTGGGTGGGATGGGTGGGGGTGGAGCCGGAGGAGAGGGCTGGAAGCAAAGGCATGGAGATGGGAACCTACAAATGGGGAGCTGCGGGAGAGAGAGCTGGAAACAAGCTTGTTCCTGATGGTGAAGGTCTTGAATGTCAGCCCGCGGACTTTGCACTTAGTAAACCACTAAAGGTTTAAAAAAAGAATCAGCTTTAGGAAGAATCAGCTGGCAGTGGTGTACAGCCTGAATAGGAACACGGAGACGTCTGGGGTGTTTGAAGTTAACAGAGGCCAGCCGGTGAGAGTGAGGGGAAGTGGGGCAGCGGAGGAGGAAGGAAGAATGGGCAGAAGGCAGAAGTATCCTTTCTGAGAGTGCCTTGTACTTTTGAGATAAGGCAGTCTGTACCGTTTTTAAGGAAGTGCTTTATGGAGATGCCCAGAACTTTTCCTTTGTTAACTCAGACTTCTCCAATGGTCAATCCTCAGCCCTCCCCACCAGCCCCTGAGCCCGAGTGCTGACGGCAGTGAGCAGACAATAGAGTTTTTGTGCTGAGGCGGGTGCAGTTTGCACTTCATGGAGCTTTCAGAGGCGAATGAGAAGTCCATGGTTTAATCTCGCCTAATCATTAGCCAAGGAGCCCTGGTGGCGCAATGGTTAAAGGCTCGGCTGCTAACTGAAAGGTTGATGGTTCAAACCCACCCAGCAGCTCCGCAGGAGGAAGACCTGGTTATCTCCTTCCATAAAGAATACAGCCTACAACTCTTCCGACAAAGATTTAGACTGGACTGTGGGACATAAAATGATACTCGTGAAGAGTGTGCTTCTCAGCTCACGTAGATACAGGAGACTAAACGGGCAGCTCCTGTCCGGAGGCGAGATGAGAAGGCAGAGTGGGTCAGGAGCCGGGACATGGGAAATCCAGGGTGGAAAGGAGGAGTGCGCTGTCACAATATAGGGAGAGCAGTTAGGGTCACATAACAATGTATGTATAAATTTTTGTATGAGAGACTAACTTGAATTGTAAATTTTCACTTAAAGTACAACAATAAAAAAGAATACAGCCTAGAAAACGCTCTGGGGCAGTTCTATTCTGTCACATGGGGTCGCTATGAGTCGAGACCAATACCAGCTGGCAGCAGCAACAACTCATTAGCCAGGTGACCTCAGGCAAATCCAGAGTCACTGGGGCCTCAGTTTCCTCATATACAATGGAGACAGTGATACCTGTTCCACCTTGTCAGCAGGACTGTCTTGGTATAAAATAAGGCTCTCGATTGGAAAACACGTTTTAAAACTAAATTACTGTACAAATACTGGGTGGTAGCATTTCTGTCATTATCGGGACTCTGGTTCTCCGTTAACCGTTTAAATGTCTTCCTGCTTACAACCTAATTTCTTCCCCCATCTTTGGGCTCCGCCATCCACATCGTTGTCTGAGTTCGCTTGAAGCCCTCAGTGGTTTGTTTTTCTGCGTCCCATCAAGCTAAAGCGTGTGGAGGGAGGAGGGGAGATTAATAAGCAGAGTGGAGCAAAGGCTGTGAAGAAGTTTCAGCTCTCTCGGTTTTTGCCCGCATAAGGGATACCTTGCGTCCGGATCCTACAGGCTGGAAGTCATGCTCAGGTTGGAAGCAGAGTCCCAGATGCGGCCCCCCTTGTTCAGCTGTCCTGGTACTGGGTCTAAACACAGGGCCCTTGCTGGAAACAGTAACAGTCCGTGTCCCAAAGATGATTAGCAAAGACGAGGATGTGAGCAGGACTTGACATGTTCAGCGCACTCTGCCATTGGAAATTGGCTTATTCCCCCCAGTCTTCAGGCCCCCCTCCCTTCCGCTGTCAACATCTCTGCTTTGTCTTGTGTTCTTTCTGAAAGCCGCGGGATCAGGGCTGTGAAGGCCGGGGGCCAGGGCGGAAGGAGAGCACCCCTGCCTGTGCGGGGCAGTGGAGGAGGGGGCTTCAGAGCCCCCTGTGTGGCTGCTCTTTGAGGGGGCATCTGGTGCTGTGACATGCACAGCATCCTCATTATCTCTCTCTTTTTTCTCTCCCCCCGGCACTTTCTCTTGTTTTTCTCTGCATGGTTTCTGTGTTATTAGTCCTGAGGTAAGAACTGGTCAAGAGCCTTGTCTCAGCCCTTTTCCTCCTCTGCTGTGCTGTCTGTCCTGCCTGCCCAGGCCCTCTGCACCTTCTTGTCTGGAGAGCATCCGGAGGGTCGGGTCGGGGAATCCCTTTGCCAGCCGCAAGTGGCTGGCTCCACCTTCAGGCTCCCCTTGCCCTTTTCCACCCAGGTTCCCATGCCCAGGTGTCTGCTCTGTTCTCATTGCTCCCCAGGCAGAGGGCCTGCAGCGAAGGCCCAGGTGGGTGGGGCCCCTCCTCCCCTTCCTGCCCCAAGCCTTGCCTCCTGTGCTCTGTGCAGCGTGGAGGTCATCCGCTTGGGCCACAGCTACTTCATTAACTGGGACAAGAAGATGTTCTGCATGAAGAAGCGGACGCCCGCCGAGGCCCGCACCACCACCCTGAACGAGGAGCTGGGCCAGGTGGAGTACATCTTCTCGGACAAGACAGGCACGCTCACCCAGAACATCATGGTCTTCAATAAGTGCTCCATCAATGGCCGCAGCTACGGTATGACTGCTGGGGACCAGGGGTGTTTAGTCTGGCTTCTCTAGAGGAGCAAAACCAGCGAGATGTATATGTGAATATATATAGATTTACTTTAAGGGAGTGGTTCAAGCAGTTGTGGGAGCTGGCAAGTCCCACGTCCCTGGGTCAGGTGGCAGGCTGGAGACCTCTGCTGGCGTACGTCCCAAGAACCAGAGGTCAGATGAAAAGAGAAGAGTACAGGGTGGAGAGAGAGAGAAGGAGGAAGGGAGCAGAGTGTGTTTGCCAGAACATCCGTTTATATATTGGAGGCAGACCACACCCCCAAGGAAACTCTCCTTTCAACTGATTGGCTGATCACATCAGATCACATCATGGAAGGTGATTACATTATATTACGTTATGGAAGAGCGCCCAGTTTCTAGTGTCTGCCAAACCACTGGGAGTCATAGCCTAGCCAAGCTGACACGTAACATTAACCATCAGAGGCGTGCATCTTGTCTGGAGGCAGAATGGAGCTGGGGTTCCCACAATTGTCTCAACTTTTAGGTGTTATCTCTTTCCTCCTGGGCTTTGAGGGGCCATGAGAGAGTCTGCTCCATGTCCCGTGTCAGGGAGTAGATACTGAGGGCCTTTCTTAGCCTCCGCTGATGTGCCATTGTAAATTGGTATTATTCCTCAGATTCCTGAGGCCCCTCTCCCTTCTGGAGTCAGACTGGGCTTAGCCCCAGGCTGTAGGGAGCTCCCTGACTGACTGAAGTGAAGCCTGAGACTCTGGCCTCTGGGTGTCTTGGCCGGGTTGGACCTTGGCTGCCCCGGTGGAGCGCTAGACTCTCCCTGTGTTGCTGCTCAGGGCCTTTGTGAGTCTATGCAATGCGACCATGGTCTCCCCAGTGTGGCCTCATGCCGTGGTTTTCTGGCTGAGCTGCTGAGGTGGCTTGGGGCAGGGTGTGGGGAGGGGGCTGACTTTTATGCAGTGCGTGGGCCTCTGTCCTAACTGCTTCCTCTACTAACCTGGACCTTACGGCCAGTGTATGAGGCTTTGTCTGGCGTGTGGGCCCAAAGCGTGAGAGGCTCCGAGGAGGCCTGAGGGTCCCGGAGGGAGGGGTGAAGGTGAAGGGGGCAGAGATGGTGAGCTGGGGGTGAGGCTGTGACTCACTTAACGGCCAGGGTCCTGGGGTTCTGAGCATCCGGGGTGCCTGTTACCTCCTGTCCCTAAGTCAGCAGTGTGCACCTGTGGGGCATCTGCTTGACCATCAGGGTTCAGGGGTCCAGGTTCCTGCAGGGGCTCCCGGCCAGGCCTGTGTACTGGAGGCTTCTCCCCTGCTCGGAGAGACCCACAGCTCTGACGTTGCCTCTCCTTCTGTCCTGGCGTGTACAGGCGATGTCTTCGATGTCCTGGGACAGAAAGCTGAGTTGGGAGAGGTAAGAGCCAGCCTGCATACTACTCTACGTGCCAGTTACACATAGGGTACCTGACCCTACCAGCTGGTAGAGTTAGGAGCGATGTGTTGACTGGTCAGCTGATAGAAACTGCTTGTAGAAATGAGTGTTTTAAGGAAGAATTGGTGGCGGAAGTGGGAATTCTGAGGTCCACGGTGGACAGGATCTTGAGCTCTCCTACTGAGAGTCGGAAGGGTAGTGGTAATAGGGTGAGGACAGCCCCTTTCCTGGGGTGCAGCCCAGTGATCCCCATTTTCCTAAGAGCCCTCTTACCGTTCCAGAGGCCCGAGCCCATCGACTTCTCTTTCAACCCTCTGGCTGACAAGAAGTTCTTATTTTGGGACCCCAGCCTTTTAGAGTCGGTGAAGATCGGGGACCCCCACACGCACGAGTTTTTCCGCCTCCTTTCCCTCTGTCACACCGTCATGTCAGAAGAGAAGAGTGAAGGTGGGCAGAGGCGCTGGCCCCCGCTCTCCTCCCGGCTTCCCCCTCCACCCTTGGGCCCAGGCTCCCGTCTTCAGGGGCTTCCTGGGTGGGGCCTCTGGCTAAGAGGGTGGTCACTGACTGTGTGTGTTCTTCCTCCTGACCCAGGGGAGTTGTACTACAAAGCCCAGTCCCCGGACGAGGGGGCCCTGGTCACTGCAGCCAGGAACTTTGGTTTCGTATTCCGCTCTCGTACCCCCAAAACGATAACTGTCCACGAGATGGGCACAGCCATCACCTACCAGCTGCTGGCCATCCTGGACTTCAACAACATCCGCAAGCGGATGTCGGTCATAGGTGAGGCCAAGGTGGGGGTGCTGGGGGGATTTAGGAATGGGGGAGGCGTGCCGGGGGACCCTGGTTGACGTGTTTAGGTTGGCATCTTCGCCAGCCTGAATCTTTTTGGGACTTTCTCCCCCTGCCCCATTCATAGTGCGGAATCCAGAGGGGAGGATCCGACTCTACTGCAAAGGGGCCGACACCATCCTGCTGGACCGGCTCCACCACTCCAATCAGGAGCTGCTCAACAGCACCACCGACCACCTGAATGTAGGTGTGGGGTGAGGAGGGGCCGGGCGGTTCTGCCGCTGGCACTGTTGTGGGTGGGAGGGCGAGGGTGTGACTTTCTGACTCTGCCTCCAGGAGTACGCAGGGGAAGGGCTGAGGACCCTGGTACTGGCCTACAAGGATCTGGATAAAGATTACTACGAGGAGTGGGCGGAGCGACGGCTCCAAGCCAGCCTGGCCCACGACAGCCGGGAGGATAGGCTGGCCAGCGTCTACGAGGAGGTGGAGAGCGACATGATGGTATGGGCCGCAGGACGAGCCGAGGGCGGGCCAGGACGGCTCCTGCCCACCACTCTCATGCCGGGGACTCATGGGGTATTTTTCAGCTGTTGGGTGCCACGGCCATTGAGGACAAGCTTCAGCAAGGGGTTCCGGAGACCATCGCCCTCCTGACACTGGCCAACATCAAGATTTGGGTGCTGACTGGAGACAAACAAGGTGAGCCCAGCAGGACTAAGGACGTTGCATCTAGACGGTCACCGTGTTGAGTCCTTGCATGGAGCCGAGGACATCAGGCAGCAGAGTGTGCTGACCTTGTCGGATGCCTGTCCGTAGCTCCTGCGTTCTCTCTTGGTAGAGACGGCCGTGAACATTGGCTATTCCTGCAAGATGCTGACGGACGACATGACCGAGGTGTTCGTGGTCACTGGCCACACCGTCCTGGAGGTGCGTGAGGAGCTCAGGTGAGCAGGAGGCCCCGGGGAGGCACTGTGCACAGAGTCGGGCAGACCCTGCTCAGGCGTGAATCCCTGCTCCCGTCGGAAGCCCCCACGTCTGTCCTGAAAGACCGTCATTTCCCCCGTCAGGAAAGCCCGGGAGAAGATGATGGACTCGTCCCGCACCGTCGGCAACGGCTTCATGTGCCAGGAGAAGCTTTCTGCTCCCAAGCTCACGTCTGTCCTGGAAGCTGTCGCTGGGGAGTATGCCCTGGTCATCAATGGTCACAGCCTGGTAAGGGCCGCCATCCTTAGCTCGGGCAGTGTCTTTCCAGAGAGCACTTCTCTGCATGTGGCTTTTCTGTCTTGTCCTCATCTCCCTTGATGTCAGAACGTCTTGGTCCTTAGGGCCGAGAGAAGCCGCGACTCTCAGGTCTCTGCTAGGGTGGCTTTGGCTCTCTGAGGCCTCTCTCTGTCACAGGCCCACGCCCTGGAGGCAGACATGGAGCTGGAGTTTCTGGAGACGGCGTGTGCCTGCAAAGCTGTCATCTGCTGCCGGGTGACCCCCTTGCAGAAGGCGCAAGTGGTGGAGCTGGTTAAGAAGTACAAGAAGGCGGTGACTCTTGCCATTGGCGATGGCGCCAATGACGTCAGCATGATCAAAAGTGAGTGGACGGTGTGGGCGTCCGGGCCTGGCAGGCGGGCCCAGGGAAGAATGACGGGGGACGGGGGACCGTGACGTGGTGCCACCCTGAAACGTGTGGCCACCTTCACCCTCTTGTCATCTCGTGTCCCCTCCAGCGGCGCACATCGGTGTGGGCATCAGCGGGCAGGAAGGGATCCAGGCTGTCCTGGCCTCCGATTACTCCTTCTCCCAGTTCAAGTTCCTGCAGCGCCTCCTGCTGGTGCACGGACGCTGGTCCTACCTGCGCATGTGCAAGTTCCTGTGCTATTTCTTCTACAAGAACTTTGCTTTCACCATGGTCCACTTCTGGTTTGGCTTCTTCTGCGGCTTCTCGGCCCAGGTAGGGAGCGTTCCCTGCCCGCTGCAGCATAAGCACGTCAGGGCAGAGATGGTATTCGTGCTGTTTATTGCCGAATCCCCAGGGCCTAGGCTTGTCTGGTGCGTGCATTACAAAAATGCTCATTGACGGAGTGGAGAGGGAGCTCCAGAGAATTCCTTAGGGCTCCCTGTGGGTCGCAGTAGATGTCAGATGTCTTCCCCTGCCTGATGTGTTGTGAGGAAGGGTTGCCCCCCGTCTCCCGTCCCTGGGGCTCACTCCTCTCTTGCTCCCTGTTCTCCTTCCAGACCGTCTATGACCAATATTTCATCACCCTCTACAACATTGTGTACACCTCCCTCCCCGTCCTGGCTATGGGGGTCTTTGATCAGGTATGGGGGACTTTATGATCCAGCGGGATGGGGGTGCATTGCTGGGAAGGAGTCACGCTGACAGTAGTGGGGGTCTGACCTTTCCACCCACTGCCTATGCTCACTGGGAAGGCAGTGCTTTCAGCTGGGGAGGGTGTGGCCATAAGCACCCTGGCCGCTGAACAGAGCTTGATTGGGCGCAGCTGGGTTTCGGTTGAATCCAGCCGTCAAAGAATTTGGAAAGGAGGAGGCAGGGATAGGGTCTTCCCTTGGCCATCCTGAGTCAAAATGGCAGCTCTGAGGCCCGCCACGCCCCCGGTCCTCCCCACACAGGATGTTCCGGAGCAGCGGAGCATGGAGTACCCTAAGCTGTACGAGCCAGGCCAGCTGAACCTTCTCTTCAACAAGCGGGAGTTCTTCATCTGCATCGCTCAGGGCATCTACACCTCGGTTCTCATGTTCTTCATCCCCTACGGGGTGTTTGCGGAGGCCACCCAGGATGATGGCACCCAGCTGGCTGACTACCAGTCCTTCGCAGTCACTGTGGCCACATCCCTGGTCATTGTGGTTAGCATGCAGGTATGAGACAGTCCAGGAACTGCCCTCACCTCTGGGGGGACCAAGCCCCCATCCTCGGGGCTGCCTCCTGGCCCAGACAGTCTGGCCTTGCTGGGTTCCCCTACAGTTCCGTTTCTGGGGGTAGGTGTCGGGGTTTTTGTGGGTTTTCCTACTGCCCGTGACAACCCCTACATTTTGCAGATTGGGCTGGATACAGGCTACTGGACGGCCATCAACCATTTCTTCATCTGGGGCAGCCTGGCTGTGTACTTTGCTATCCTCTTTGCCATGCACAACAAGGGGCTCTTTGAAATGTTTCCGAACCAGTTCTGCTTTGTGGGTGAGTCCCTGTGGCTCCTTGAATCAGTGAGGCATCCCAGCTGTTCTGGGTCTGATGGGTAATCAGCCAGTCTGCACATCTCAAGTCTTTTATCCAGTACTCCTTACATGCCAGGTGCTCTGCAAGGGGCCGCAGGGATACCGAGGGGCATCTGACCTGGTCCCTGCCCAGACAGCATCCACACCCATGAATATGAAGGACATTCCTACCAGGCTGTGGGAGGTCGGGGCTCCGGGAGAGGCCAGGAGGAGGCCGGCTTTGTGGTCAGCAAGGCCACTGCTCTGGGCTGACCAGGGATAATCCCCCAGAGGAGGCTGCTGTAGGGGAGCAGGGCTAGGGGCTGGGATTCCAAGTTGGAGAGCTGGAGGTATGAAAAGGCCACTCGTTTTCTAGGGAATGGAGGGTGTTCCACCTAGGGTGGGGCAAGAAACACCCATCAGAATGCCAAGCTGTCGGGTTTTGCATTTGACTTGCCAGCAGCCTTGGGGTTTTTTTTTTGAGGAGAGGGGAAAATGGCATGAAAGGATGGCTTTAGAAAGATGAATCCGCAGTGGTGCAGTGAGGAAGCTACTGGAATGAGCGAGCGCGAGGCTGTTCAGATCTGGTGCCAGGGTGGCCGTGGTGGCTGGCAGAGAGGGGCTGGTGGGGAGGCATGAGGTGAAGGAAGCATTCACAGATCTCAATGTTTGCTGTCCCGTTCGTTTGTCCAACAGACACTCAGCCAGCACCTACTGTGTGTGACCCGCCATTCTAGATGCCGCAAAGAGAGCGATCCTTTTTTTTTTTCCAGTGGAGGAGATAGAATTTACATAAATCGATATAATGTGGAAATAACAAGTATTGCACACAACACTGAGTAGGGTAGAGGGTGTCTGGAAGGACCTGTTGAGGAAGGGACATTTTCACAGAGAAATCTGAATAAGGGGAAGGAGCAAGCCTCTGGGAAAGAACATTCTAGAAAGAGGAGACAGCACTACAGAGGCCTGAGGTGGGAGCCTACGAGGAAGTCATCTGCAGCAGAGCTGGGGAAGAAACGAGGTCAGAGGGTAGGGGCTGTGGCCGGGGGAAGAGGAGGGGTGGGACTCAGTCGAGATCGTTTACGCCCTTCTAAGTCAGAGTAGGAAACCCTGGTGGCACAGTGGTTAAGAGCTATGGCTGCTAACCAAAAGGTCGGCAGTTCAAATCTACCAGGCGCTCCTTGGAAACTCTAGAGGGCAGTTCCAGTCTGTCCTGTAGGGTTGCTATGAGTCAGAATCGACTCGATGGCAACGGGTTTGGTTTTGGCGTTTTAAGTCAAGTCATTGAATTTTTTGGGGTTTTTTTGGTGGTGAAAACACGCATATAACACAACATGCCATCTCAACAGTCTCTGCATGTCCAATCCAGTGAGAACATTGACTTTTCATCTAAGCGTCCTAGGAAGCCATCAGAGGGATTTTCACCCGGGAAATGTCATCAACTGATTTTCGTTTTTAGAGACCTACTTACGGTTTTATGGATAACAAAGTGTAGGGGGCAAAGGTGGAACTGGGAGACCAGTTAGGAGTTGAGAACAGTAATCCAGGTGGGCATGATGGTGACTTGGGATAGAGTGACAAGTGGTGGAATTCCCTAGATACTTTGCAAACAGAGCCGACGAGATTTGCTGACAGGTTGGATGTGGGGCCCGAGAGAAGGGCATCACGGTTGGCTTCCGAGTTTTGAGTTGGACCATTTCTTGAGCTGGGGAGGACATGGAGCAGATCTGGGGTGGAGGAAACCGTAGTTCAGCTTTGACCGCGTGAAATTTGACGCGCCCGGTAGACGTTCAGTGAAGATGTCGGGTAAGGCAGTTGGAGACACAGGTCTGGAGGTTGGGGGAGAGTTTGGAGCTAGAATTAAATTTGGAGATACGTGGGAGGCAGGGAGGAGAGGGAAGCCAGAGATGACCTGGGTTTTGCGATAGAGGAAGCTGGGCTGCCAGAAGTTGAAGTGGGAAGTCAGGGGACCGCCCTTCTTTCTCTTCGTGACTCTGAAGACCTGACCGCTCCCCACTCGCAGGTAACGCCCAGAACACCCTGGCCCAGCCCACGGTGTGGTTGACCATTGTGCTCACCTCCGTCGTGTGCATCATGCCTGTGGTCGCCTTTCGCTTCCTGAAGCTGAATCTGAAACCTGACCTCTCTGACACGGTGAGAAGCCAGGCTGGCCAGCCGGGGGCACGGAGATGGCTGGGTTCAGCACCCGCACGACTGCAGCTGCTGGACTGCGTGATGGTGAAGCGGATCGGCGGTGATCACTTACTGTTCCTCGGGGCAGACGCTGCATGCAGCTGAGAGGCTCCCCAGGGCTGCCCCGTCGTGGGTGCTCCGTTCCCTTCCCCGCGGCGGTGTCTGACTCCTACCCTTGCTGCTCTCCCCCCAGGTCCGCTACACCCAGCTGGTGAGGAAGAAGCAGAAGGCCCAGCACCGCTGCATGCGGCGAGGGGGTCGCACAGGCTCCCGCCGCTCCGGCTACGCCTTCTCCCACCAGGAAGGCTTCGGGGAGCTCATCATGTCCGGCAAAAACATGCGGCTCAGCTCCCTGGCGCTCTCCAGCTTCACCACCCGCTCCAGCTCCAGCTGGATCGAGAGCCTCCGTAGGAGAAGGAGTGACGGCGCCAGCAGCCCCAGTGGTGGGGCCGACAAGCCCCTCAAGGGGTGAAGGCTGGGACGCCCTGGTCAGAGCACACGGGGCCGGCCGGGCACCGAGGGAACTGCTGGTCCTCATTGCCTTTGGCCAGGGGGTGTCCTCCTTACCACCCCCATCTCCTCCCTGCGTTAGACTGTCCTGCTGGTCCCACTCTGAGGGGCTGGGGGGGAGCATCCCCAGCAGAGGCCCCCCCACCAGCTAGGGGGCAGAGGGAGTAGGCCCCAAGAGCAGAGGAGGGGGGCTGAGTCTTCAGGACCCAGCCTTAATGCGGGGCCAGGTGTGGAACCAAAACCAAGAAGAAACTGTGAGAGATTGGGTCTGCCCCTGTCCTGCCCAGAAGCCTGCAGGGGGACTCTAATCTCTGTATTTTTTTACTCCCACTCCCCAGAGGGGTCCCGGAGCCCCTGTTCCTGAATCACATGAGAATGTATTGTGCCGGGAAGCCAGAGACCTGCGGGGGCCTCCGGACCCCTCCGTATTGTATGTCTCTCCTTGATTCGCGTTTGTGTTCTCACTTTGGTTTTGTCTTCTTGATTTGGCAAGTGGAGGAGGCCTTTATGTGACCTGCATGTCGTGGCTGGTGTCTTCACTGTCCTGGGGAAGAAGAGGCTGGCCCACACAGGGATGCCCGTCTTGGCCCGGGCCTGGCTGGGCGGGGAGCCATTTGGAAGGAGCCACAAGGCACAGTTGGCCCCCTGGTGGCCGGTGGGTGTGTGACAGGGAAGCTGACCAGGGTAGGCGGTACCAGAGAGGGTGCTGGAGGGTCTAAAGGGGGGTCAGGTCCTCTCTCCTTCCTCACCTTGAGAGTAAAGTGCTCCCCCGCCCCCCCCAGGACGCACATTTCCCAATTCCTGGATTCCCTAAGTCCTGCTGGCATTGGACTGGAGCCTGGGAAACTGCCCCATCCTCAGTGAGCTGAAGCTGGGTACGAAGTTTGAATTTTAACTTTAGGTGAAGTTCATTAGCAGGCTCCCTTCTGACTTCCCTTCTGCCTCCTTATCTGGCGCTTTCTTGCACCTGCACCCCAGCACTCTGAGCACCCTGAGGTGGAGAGGAAAGCTGGCCTCTGCTTCTCCTGGGAAATCAGGGGTCCCAGCCCCTCCAGGCCCAGTGTCTGGCAAGAGAAGGTAGTTTCCCATACAGGGTGGTGGCGGAGGAGGGGCAAGGCGAAACTGGGCTCGGCCAGGAGACCGCAGGCCCAGGGCCTGGCTTGGTCTGCACGGGACTCAGCGGAGCCTCGTCACAGCCCTTCCCCTCCATGGCGCACCTGGGACACGCTTTCCCCACTTAGGTGTCTCAAGTTAGTTGCTACCACATCAGCCTCGAGAAGAATCCCTTCCTCGTCCATGGTGGTGGAGTGGGTGCTATGTCAGGAGTGCTGTGGAGCTGGGGATGGGCAGGGGGAACTTCCATGCTTCATGTGGGGGCCCTGGAGGAACTGGAAGTGGGTGGCAGTGAGATGGGGGTGGGCTGGGCAGGGACTTGGGGAAGGGGAAGTCTTGGCAGGGAAATCCCTTTGGGCCACGCAGTTTACAAACCCAACATCGTGTCTGTGTTGTGTGTCTCTCAAGGTGAGAGTGATTTTTATACCAAAGACGAAATGATTTTTTTTCATATTTGGTTTGTCTATATTATATAAATATATATATATATATATATACAGTTATATACATATTATTTTTTTGGTTCTCTCTCATTTTTTAGGGAGGGAGGAAACTACCAAGTTGCATTGAGCTGTAATTAAGGAACATTCTGTATAATTTATGACACATTTCTATACTTGCAAAAATTATATCATTTTATGAATATAAACAAAGCCTTTTTATAAAATTTCAATTTCTGAGAAGTGTGTAATTTGTTTGTTTTCTGATGTTTAACCAAGACTGGTGGCAAAAGTAAAGACAGACAAGCTGTCTCCGGTAGATCTGAGCCAAGGTGGAGGGTGCAGTCGGCCTGGTGGGGTGTAGCGCCCCTTCTTGGCAGATCTCCCCAGAATCCCGCAGAGTTTCAGCTGGAAGATGGGGCAGTGGGTGCTGAGAGGCAGATCCAAGGCCAGGAACTTTGTGTTCAACTGCTGACTGGGTGCTTAGGACCTTGAACTGTTTGCTTTTCTAAACACAAGCCAACCTCTCATTCCTGACGTATGCCAGATGGGAGGGATGTGTGGGGAAAGTACCAGGTAAATATTTTGTTTTTTTTTAAGTCTCCCTCCCCAACCATGCCTTACCGTTTGGCGCCAGCTTCACAGTCTCACGTCTTCCTGATGTGGCACAGAAGTGGCTAGCAGGGGCCCTAAGTTTTGCAGACAGATTCTGAAGGGATTTCAGGTTAACAGATAAAGTGACCTTTCTTCCTCAGGGAAAAGATGAGCCAGGTCAGGGCCAGCATCCTAGGACAGCTAGAGGCTAGGGGTTAGTGCTGGGCTGAGGAAGAAGCCCCCCAGGCTGGTCTCCCCCTCAGACCTAGTCAGTCTATTGTGTCTCCTGGTGAAGGTTCTTGCTACTGAGTCCCAAGTAGGTGCTAAGCTCTGACGAGGAACAAGATGAGTCCCTGTCAGGGAGGAAAAGTCCACAGCAGATGTAGTCGTACAGACCCCTGGGATATGAGCTGATACCTGCCTCCACACAGGTAGATCCTGCCGAACTACAGAACTCCTGATCGCCAACGTCTGTCTGGAACCCTGAGACTCAGGCAGCAAGTAGCATCTGGCCCCAGTCTCCCCCCACCCCTCCCCGGACACAGAAATGCCATCATTTCTTGAGGCTGGTTAGGCCCCAACTTTCTTGTCCTTGTAATCTTTCACCCCTGCCCGAGAGGCTGATCCCTGGCCCTCTGCCCCTGCCCAGTGACAGGTCCTTTTCAACACTCTCATGTCACGACTGCCTGTGCTTCCAGACCCCACTTGTCCTCCCAAAGCTGACATACAAGAGAGGCTTCAAGAGGACAGAAGAATTACTACTCAACCCTTGAGAGAAGGTTCTCCCTGTTCCTCCTTAGCTGACCCAATCCTAGGTATCTGAGGGGCAGAGCCAGCATTATTTTTACTCTCATTGCCGCTTCCAGGCACTTTTCCCCCCAGTCTTTGCGTCAACGCATCTCCTTTAGTCTCCTGCTACTGAGACGCTCCATTTTCTTTCCCTCATTGCAGACATGCCTTCACCTCATAGTTCCTTCCCTGGGCTCACTGAGTCTTCCTGTCCCTCACCCACCATTATTCTAGTCCCTTCTCTGGCTGTGTGGACGAGAAGCCTGTCTGATGCCTAGCTTTGCTCTTCCTTAGCCTCCTCATTTCCAAGGGCATCTACGTCCACTCTGCTAAAGCCGCACGCTCCCGTAGGCACCCCCGCTGCCATTGATCGTAGCTCCACCTTGGAAATTTCACAATCCGGTATTTGACCGTTCACATCCTTCAATTCTTCCGTCTCTCACCTGTGCTCCCAACACACACGGCATCCTCTTCCCTTTTATCCTGGCCACTCACGTCCTTTGTGGGAGTCCTTCTTGGTTTCCCGATCCAGCTCAGAGCCTGTGGCCTATCAATCGCTCTGCCCAGCAATACTCCAGCGCTGGATGAAGCCGGCAGCTCCTGGGGTGACCTGTTGAATGTTAAAGGAGAGCGCCTCATAACCATGGAGAGTAGAAGGGCTGCAGATTGATGGCCTCTCACCTCGGCAGGCCCCTCCGCACGGTGAGGCAATGCTGTGAATCTCTGGTCACTATCATTGTTATCCGTTTCACTGACTGTTCCTAAATTTCACCTCTTTCCTCAGATCCTTCCCACCACCTCCCCCCCTACCCGCAGCAGATGTTTCTGCCTCCTATTTCACAGGAGAAAATAACTCCTTCAACTGTCCCTTGTTGGTGCTAATTGCCGTCAAGTCAGCCCTGACTCATGGTGGCCCAGCGCCCAACTGAAGGAAAGACTGCCTGGGCCTGAGCCATCCTCATGTTAGGCCGGGGACTGGATGCTTGTGATCCACAGGGTTTTCACCAGTTGGTTTTTGGAAGTAGATTGCCAGTCCTTTTCTCCTAGTCCATCTTAGTCTGGAAGCTCCCTTGAGACCTGTTCAGCATCATAGCAACAGGGAAGCCTCCACTGACAGATGGGCGGTGGCTGCACCTGAGGTGCATTGGCAGGGAATTGAACCAACGTCTCTCCCATGGGGGGCAAGAATTCTCCCACCGAGCCACCACTGCTCCCACTCAACTTTCCCTGTCACCTCTGGATTTCACTCCATAGACACTCAGCCCTTCCTCCTGCTGCTTGTAAGGCAGGCCCTCCAGCCCCTCTCTGCTTGTGCTCAGGCTCCTTCCCTCCTCCGACCTCAGAACTTCTGTTATCCTTCTTCCATTACCCTCCATCCATCACCCTCTTTTTACCTTACCTTCAACCCCTCTGTGGTGCAGTGAATTACTTGATATGGCCTTTCTAGCCATAGTCTTTGTGACTCCCACACAATGATTGGGTAGAACTATGCAAATAAGGTGCTAGTGACCCACCATGGGGATTGGACAGCTTGCTGCTAATGCAAATAAGGTGCATGGAACACTTGTGGGGTTGGGACCATGCAAGTAAGGTGTATGGAACCCTACTGAGGGGATTGGTCAGTTTTGCCATCCTGCTAGGCTTAAAATGAGCTATCCCAGAGGCGGAAAGGGGCGACCACCCTACCACCAAGAAAGAGAGAGGAGCGGAGCATGTCCTTTGGACCTGGGGTCTCCAGACTGAGAACCTCCTAGACTCAGGGGCTAGACAGAAAGAGCTATGACATCAGAGATGGCAAGAGAGGGCGAGAAGCAGCAGGGAAATGGCAGCAGCAGAGGCAGCAGAATCAGGAGACTGGCAGAAGAGGGCGTGGTGGCCTTCCCAGTCCACGGAGCGAGAGAGCTGAGCACCCTCAGGCCAAGGCTTGCTGACGGAGTAGGGTGCCTCAGAGCACTTATTGTCAGAACTAAAGAGCTTTGTAACACTTGCCTGAGCAGGGCAGAGGCAGGGCCCAGGGGCCAAGGGCCGGAAAGAGGCCTGCCTGCAGGCACGGCTGAGAAGAAGCTAACCTGACCCAAGATCTGTATCCTAAACTGTAACCTGTTACTTCCCTAATAAACCCCATAACTGTGAGTATGGTCTGTGAGCTCTGTGTGGCCATTGCAACAAATTTTCAATCCCAGCAGAGTAGAGAGTGCCATGGGAGGGACAGCTGGTGTCAGAATTGGTAAAATGGTTGGAGGGTGGAGGTATATCTGACCTCACCTCATAGCAACCAGCCCTGGCCTATTGACACTGATACTGATTCTTCTCCCCCCTTGTGAAGTTAGATGAGGAGGTCAGATGCCCCCACGCCACGCCATTTCACACCTTCCTTCTCTATTGATTTTTCCCTTCACCAGATAAGCACATTCAGGGTTTCTTTCTCACTCATTCTCATCCTACTAAGCTGCTTTGTGATTGTCTCCATCCTTTCATTAGCTAAGCATCTCGGAAGGAGCTTCCTTACCTTCTCCACGCCCTATAATCGGGCTCTCCTTCATTCGCCCCTGAAAAGCGTTCACTAAAATCACCTTTGACCTTCATGTGGCAAGTCCAGTGGACTTTTCCAGTCCTGTCTTACCTGCAATCTCTTAGTCATTTGACTTCCTTGCCACTTCCTCCTTGAAACTCTGCCCCACCCCCGGCCTTTCTGATACCTCCTCTGGGTTTTATCATTGCCTTTCTGGCTATTCCTCTGTCTCCTTCCTGGAGCTCCTTCCTCTGCTCTCCTCCTCCAGGGCTCCATCCTTGGTGCTGAGCTCTTCTGGTTCTATGCATGGTCCTTGAGTGACCCATCCAAACCCATGGTTTAAATGAGATTTGGGAATGACACCATTGTTCACCTCCAGACTGAACTTCTTTCCCCTATCCTTGCGCTCCAGACCCCTGCATTCAACTACCCATTGGACCTACCACTTGGATGATCCACCAGCACCTCAAATTCAACATACCCCAAATTGAACATTATTCTCCCCAACACCTACTCCTCCTCCTGCATCCTCCATCTCAATGAGTGGCATACCATCTCCCCAGTCACCAAAGCCATACACACAAATTCTGGAGAAAATCCCACATCTGGTTTAGAGCCACCACACTCATCATAGATTGCATTCTCCTTGATGTTGAGCATGAAACGATTAAACTTCAACATCCTGAGTCACTATTTCATAGTGATTGTGACCCAAGCAGGGTCACAACAGCCATATTTCTGTCCCTAGGAGGAACGATTTAGGTTGAGACTCAAACACAAAGAAATTTTTCTGCCAGAAAGGCTCTATAATACCAGCTTCCTGGAGCTCAGCAGGAAGAAAAGCCTTGGTCCTACAGGAGAAAATGGGGAAAGACCAGAGTACCCAGGTCAGACAGGCCAGCAGCTGCAGCATCCCGTTCCTGCCACTCCCAGAGCACAAGAGAGGGAACCACTTACTGTTGGAGCTCTGGAGCTGAAGGGAGGAGCTGACTTCTCCTTCTCGTCTCTGTTCTCAGAACAAAGTCGGGAAGGCTGCACCCATGTTTTCACCATTGTGTGGCTGAGAGTTTGGGTTTGGAGAGCTACATCCTAAGGTCAGGGGTAGGGTAGGCGGGAGTGGCCCTAACCACGTCCAGTAAATGACAAGGGGGTCTGTTCTAGGCTTCCGTGCAGATTTTCCTCTGGGGCTTCAGAGTCCTGTCTTGAAAGACTGTGCCCTGACCTCAGTGAGAGGCAATGACCTCCTGTCTGATCCTCCCAGCACTTCCTGGAAGCTTTCCAACTCTCAGTAGGCAGCAGTTGCCCTGCCTGCTGAGCCGGGGAGGGTGTAGGCTGAGAAAGGGGGGTCTTTTCCAAGCATTTTCAGGGCCTATGTCCTATAAAGTAAACCCTGGTGGCATAGTGGTTACGTACTATGGCTGCTAACCAAAAGGTCAGCAGTTTGAATCCAC